ATTTCTGGAAGCTGCTTTGTCCAGGACTGGTGTCCCCCAGGCTGCTGTCCTGGCAGCTGTACGCCAGGCTCCAGGTATATTATCTGATTGGAGCCTCGGAGCTGCTCTGGAGGACGGGTGGGCTGTGCTCACAATGTGATGAGGACCTCCTGGGTCAGGGCTTGTCCTGGCTTGTATGAGAGTTGGTGCCCGACCTCCTGACAGAGGCCACCGCACTGAGTGACCGGACTCCTGAAGGCCCTCAGCCAGCCCGGAGGTGCATTCAGGTTTGCGGATACCTGTCCCTAAGACAGGACCGCGGTGTGACTGTAGATAGGTGGGCTGTGGTGGTTGGGGGAGGGGGTGGAGCAGGCCTGCCGTTTGAATTCAAATACAAGTGGCACAGTCCATTATTTTGCAGATTCAGCGACACCCCAGCTAAGGGTCTGGCCAGCTGCCTGGGGTAGGGGAGGGGGAGGGATGTGGAGGGGGAGGAGGGGAAAGGATGGAGTTCCACTTGCTGTCAGGGGAAGGAGCACTGGTCGAAGAGTTCCCTGACAAGGCCTCTGGACCCAGCTCCTGAGAATGCCGACGTCCAGGCTGGGAGGATCTGGTGCTGACACTCACCCCTCCACCCTTTCTTGGGGAGAGAGGCAAGGGCTGTTTCATTTCACAACTAGGGGCAAACGGGGCCTGGGAGGTGAGGGGACCTGTTGGGGATCAATGGAATCAGGGTCTAAGAAAGGCAAAGATAGCCCTGGAGGACGTTTGTCATTCTGGCAGCTGTCAAATACTGCCTTAAAGGTGTGCGTAACAGTGACACCCCCCACTGCCACCCCGTCCCCGGGTGCCCCAGTGTGTCCTCGAAAGCAGGCTCCTGCCTAAGTCAGAGCCATGGGACAGCAGCAGGGCACGCGTCCTCCCTCTACCCCCAGCCCCATGGCAGTCTGACAGGATCCCTAGCCCCTGCTTTCTGCCTCCGGGGCTGCTCCAGCCCGCCCCAGTCTCTTGACATCCTGCACTATCTCTCAGGCTCCATCTGGCCTAATAATTGGAGCCCAGCAAGTCCAGTTAATTAAAGGCATTCTCTGAGCACCTGCAGGGTGCCAGGCACAGGGTGAGGATCCAGCTAGATGGAGAGAGGCAAAATATAGTCCCTGCCTGAATGGCCCTTATGGTCTAGTAGGGGAGACAGGCAGGCCCATAACTCACCGCACTATGGCAAATGGGAAAAAACAAAGGCTTTAATGTAAGAGGTATAGAAGAAGCTGCCTTGCGAGATGGTGAGTTCCCCATCACCAGAAGTGTTCAAGAAAAGGATGGTGAAGGTTGCTGTAGAAGGGATTTCTGCGCTGTGAGTATACGTTGCGAGATGGATGCTGAGTAGGATTAGATAAGCATTAAGGCTCCTTCTAATGCTGGATTACAGAATCATCTGAATCGTCTGTGATTCTGTGACATTCCCCATCTAGGGGAAGTTTGTCTGCGGTCCCATTGGGTGTGATGGCTCTCTGCTTCACCACCCCCTCCAGCTACACCATGAGACACGGGTTGTTCTTCATTTCTGTGCTCCCCCACCCCCGTTCTGCCCAGTGCCAAGCGCCCGGCGTAGACCTTGAATGGAACTTAACAGACCCTGTCGAGGACTGCTTGAGGAATGAGGGATTATCAGGTGTGTCCCCTGCTCTGGTTGAGACATGAAGCTATCAGGTTATGCTATATGACAGCCTGCAGGAAGGGACTGAAGTGCATGCTCCTAGGTGAGAGGGCTGGGAGAACTCCCAGAAGAGGCCGAGGCCATGGAATGTCCTGGAAGTTTCCTCGGACAGCTGGGGCTTGAAATGGGCCTGGAGGGGTGGTGGGGCTTTGATGGACGAGAGGGTGGAGGTGCGCACTGAGGAAGCTCAAGTTGCTGTGGGCTTGGGCTGGAGGCCAGGTATCAGGAGGACCCTCACTGGTGAGAGCCTGGAGCAGAAGGCTGGAGGCCAGGGGTCTGATGGGGCAGCAGGAGTTTCAGCCCTGACCCAGCGTTAGACTCACCTGGAATGTCTCAAACACTGAAATCCAGGCTCCACCCCAGAAAGTCTGATTTTAACTGGTCTAGTATGTAGCCTGGGCATTGGGGTTTTTTTAAAGCCCCCCAGATGATGTGCAGGCAAGTGTGAGTTGCCGTTCTGGACAGAGTTAAAGGGCAGCATCAGAATCACCTGGAACATAGGTTCAAAATGAGGATGCACAGGCCTCACTCCACACTTGTGGAATCAGAATCTCCAGGCCTGAGGCTTGGATCTCTGTTTATAACAAAGATCCCAAGGTGGAAGGTGACAGCCAGGGTGGAGAGCCAGAGTGATGAAGGAGCAGGCAGCCAAACCCCTTTCATCAAAACCTTGCCGTGGTTCTTGGACGCCTGTGGCCCTGGCATGTGGGCTGCCTGCTTTTGAGTTATGCCCTGAGCTCTCACATCAGTAACGCAGAAAAACAGGAAAGCTGACAATTGGCCCTCTCAGTCACGCCGTCTCCATTTCCGAGCTCTCCCCCTGGCTTGGGCTTGGGGCGCCTGCCTCCCCACTTCAGACCTGAGTCACAGGCTGACCTGCCTGTTGCAGGGGATGTGGTCACAGCAAGTGACTCTCTGTAGGATGGAGAACCTTTCAAGGTTCCCTCCTCCAAACCTCCCCCTCATCGCCTACCCGCTTTGGGGAAGTGTGATTCCAAAAAATGCCTTCAGCTATGTTGTAATTTAGGAACGGAAAGGGAAAGTCATAATTCTTTCATGTGGGAATTTACATCCATTACCACTGCTCCCTTGTCTCCCTCTGTTTCTCGCCCCCCCCCCCAAAGCCCCAGTAGATAGTTGTCCGTCAAGAAGCGGTGCGTCAGTGCGTGCCCGGGATTGAACCCAGGCCTCCAGTGGCGGAGCGCGTGCACTTAACCGCTAAGCCACGGGGCTGGCCCTCCCTCTGTTTCTTACTCAGACTCAACACCCTGTGCTCTCCCACTCATCCCCCAAAGATTCCTCTTCACCCTTCCTGTGTCCCCAGACCCCAGAAATCTCCTAATGGTGCCACCCTGCCTCTTCACCCTGAAATTCCCCAGGCCCTTACCCTGTGTCCCTGGGGCTTACCTTACAGAAACGCTGGTCGGTTGCACGGCATGAATTGTGTTGCAGTGCTTGCTGGTGTAGGCTCAGCATTTTAAGCCAAAAAAAAAAATCCTCTAGCAATGGGAACATATGAAAGAGACAGTGAGTGAAGTGTAACTACTGCATTTGCTGAATTTTGTGAGATAATATTTTTTTATATATAATATTTTTTAATATTTTATTTTATTATTATTATTTTTTCCCCCAAAGCCCCAGTAGATAGTTGTATGTCATATCTGCACATCCTTCTACTTGCTGTATGTGGGACGTGGCCTCAGCATGGCCAGAGAAGTGGTGCGCACCCGGGATCCGGGCCCGGGGCCGCCAGTAGCGGAGCGCGCGCACTTAACCGCTAAGCCATGGGGCCGGCCCGATAATATTTTTTTTAAATGCTTGCCTTTAGCAATTTTTTTTCCTGAATTAACTTTTGTCCAACAAACGTTGTTCTCGCTGACCTACAGAATAAAGATGATGTTCATCATCCTAGCATTTGATGGAAGCTGGGCGTACAAAAGTGATAGCCGAGGCCTGGAAATGGACGAAATTCCCCAGGGAGAGAGTTTCCAATTAGAGAAGGCACTAAGTCTGATGTTAGCTCTAGGGTTTTTTGTTTTTCTGTTTTTTTGTTTGTTTTTGTTAGATGCCTTTTATCAGGTTAAGGAAGTTCCCTTCTATTTCTAGTTTGCTACGTTTTATTTTTTTTAAATCAGGAATGGATGTAGAATTTTGCTAAATGCTTTTTCTGCATCTATTGAGATGAGTGTGTGTATATATATGTATATATATATATATACATATTGAGTTTGTTAACAGGGTGGATTACATTGATTGAATTTCAGATGTTAAACCAACTTTGCATTCCTGGGATAAACCCCATTTAGTCATGATGTTTTATCCTTTTTATATATTATTGAATTCCAAATGCTAACATTTTATTAATATTTTTTGTGTCTATGTTCATGAGGGATATTGGTTTAATTTTCTTTTCTATAATATATTTATCTGGTTTTGTTCTATCAAGATAATGCTGGTAGCATGGGATGAATTGAGAAGTGTTCTTTCCTATTTTTCTGGAAGAGTTTGTGCAGAATTGGTATTATTTCTTCCTTAAATTTTTGGTAGAATTTACCTGGACTTGGAATCTTTTTTGCGGGGGGCAGTTTTTAAGTAAAAGTTCAATTTTTTTAATAGATATTAGAACTATTCAGGTAATCTATTTCTTCTTGAGTGAACTTTCATAATTTGTGTCCTTCAAGGAATTTGCCCATTTCATATAAGTTGTTAAATATATCAGCATAAAGCTTTTTTTTTTTTTTATAATTTTATTTATTTATTTTTTTCCCCCAAATCCCCAGTAGATAGTTGTATGTCATAGCTGCACGTCCTTCTAGTTGCTGTATGTGGGACTCGGCCTCAGCATGGCCAGAGAAGCAGTGCGTCGGTGCGCGCCCAGGATCTGAACCCGGGCCGCCAGCAGCTGAGCGCACTCACTTAACTGCTAAGCCACGGGGCCGGCCCGAGCATAAAGCTTTTGTAATATTCTCTTCATCCTTTTAATATCTGTAGGAACTGTAGGGATATCATCGCTCTTGTTTCTGTATTGGAAATTTGTGTCTCTTCTTTTTCCTAATCAATTTGTCTAAAGGTTCATTCATCAATTTTATTGATTTTTTTCAAAAACCAGCTGTATTGATTTTCTCTATTTTTTTGTTTTTTATTAATTTCTGCTCTTATTTTTATTTATTTTCTTCTGATTATTTTGGGTTTAATTTGCTTTTCCTTTTCTATTTTTTTTTTTTATGGTGGAAACTTAAGTCATTGATTTTAGACTTTTCTAATATAAGCAGTTATTGCTTAGAGAGCTGCATTCCAGCCTTGTGCAGTACCCAGAGTTAGGGGTCTGGAAGCAGGAGACAGGTGTAGCTGAGAGGTCACAGCAAGGGGAAGACACTGGCCTGGGAGCCAGAGACCTGATTTTCACTAGCCTCTCACTAGCTGTGTCACTTTGGACTTAGACTCTCTGAGCCTTGGTTTCTTTGCCTGCACAATGGACCCAGGGATAATCTCCTCCTGGGCTCTTGGAGATGAAGTAGTTGATGAATACGAAAGCACTTGGCCACCTAGAAGGGCCTCCCCAGACCAGTGTGAAGGGTGGTTGTCATGACATTTGTAGTAACAGTGGCTTCTTCTGTCTTTCCAGATCCAGAAACAGCATGTACACACCCATCCCCAAAAGGTAGGCTGTGCACCCCATCCCCTCTCACTGCTCCCCTTCTTCACCTCCAAGGGCTGCCCCTCCTCACAGCTCCCCTCATCCGCACACCGCAGTCCCCAGGCCTGCCCAGGTCTCTGTGCTAGGGTCCACTCCTCGTGGCCCTGGCCATGGCCAACCCTCTCCCCTTCCGCAGCGGCTCCCCGTTCCCAGCCTCGGTGCAGGCTCCTGGCCTGCACGTGTGGCGGGTGGAGAAGCTGAAGCCAGTGCCGGTAGCACGTGAGGACCAAGGCATCTTCTTCTCGGGCGACTCGTACCTAGTGCTGCACAATGGCCCAGAGGAGCTCTCCCACCTGCACCTGTGGATAGGTAAGGGAGCTGGAGGGACTGGTGGGGGCCCGGCCTGGGCAGGGCCCGGGGCTAGGATGGGTCTCACGGGCCTTGCCCTGCCACCTCCCACCTGCCCCAGGCCAGCAGTCATCCCGAGATGAGCAGGGGGCCTGCGCCATGCTGGCCGTGCACCTCAACACCCTGCTTGGGGAGCGGCCTGTGCAGCACCGAGAGGTGCAGGGCAATGAGTCCGACCTCTTCATGAGCTACTTCCCACGTGGCCTCAAGTACCAGGTCAGAGCCCACCTCCCGGCACCCCCACCCTGTGGCTTCTCCTAGAGCCAGCCGCCCTTCCAGCTGGTTCTTACCCCTCTAAAGGCCCAGGTGCCCTCGGGGCTGGGTCCTCCCCACCTTTCTGCCTGTCCCGCCATGGGATGGGGTATGGAGGGCTCCGGGCCTCCCATCAGCCCACTCAGGCTGGCCATCTGGACTGTAGGAAGGCGGAGTGGAGTCAGCATTTCATAAGACCTGCCCAGGGACCACCCCAGCTGCCATCAAGAAACTCTACCAAGTGAAGGGGAAGAAGAACATCCGTGCCACCGAGCGGGCGCTGAGCTGGGACAGCTTCAACACCGGGGACTGCTTCATCCTGGACCTGGGCCAGGTGGGTGGGCAGGGCGGGACTGAGCATGCTGTGCTGGCACCATGTTTTAAAAGGGCAGGGACCAGGAGGCCAGGGGAGAGGGAGAGAAGCTGAGAAGCTATAAGCCCATTCCAAGTGGGACTGCTCCAGCCATTAGACAACATGCTTATATTTGTAAGGACTGAAACCTTCCTTTGCCATCTAGCCACGGCCTCTAACACTGGAGCCTACTCTGTCCTCTTGGAGCCTTTGTAGCTCTGAGCTAGCTGCCTGCCAGACCGTAAATTCATTCACTCATCGGTTCACTCAGAGGATCTATGAGGCCTGCTCTGAGCCAGCACAGAGACTATAATTTGCTTGCCCTGGAGAGGCAGCCAAGAAGGGCCTGTCACTTGCTGTAATCCACAGCAGGATGTGTTGAGGGCTCTAAGAGAGGCAGTGGTGTGTGCTGGGGGAGCTCGGACAGGGAGGGGCCCTCTAGCCTGAGCTGAAGCCCTTCTCCCGGGAAGGTGCCATTTGACTAGACCTTCATTGAGGGGAAATGCCGTTCCAGGCGAAGGGACAGGTGAGCTGAGGCACTGGGCGGGGGAAGGTGCAGACATGCATGTCGACAGCAGGGAAGGGCCCAGCTCTGCCGGGACCCAGGGTGGGGACAGGAGCAATGGGAGCAAAAATTGCTAAGGAGGGTGAGGCCCAAGTCATGAGGAGACTGACTGTTCATCTGAGGAGTCTGGAGCGCATCTTGTGGTGCTGAAGATTTGGGGCAGGAAGATCAACCCAGGAGCTGTTTGAAAGGAGGGCTGGAAGCAGTGAGACAGAGGCGGGGGACCAGCTCGGGAGAGGTGGTGAGGGCCAGGCCTGGCGGGGGCAGGAGGGAGTGTGAGACGCAGGGTCAGTGCCGTCCACCCATTCGTTCACTTAAGAAATATTTATTTTGTGCCTTAATATGTGTCTGTTTTAGCACTGGGCATACAGCAGTGAACAAAGTGAAGTAAAACACAATGCAGCATTCTTGCCTTACAAAGCTTGCTTTCTAGGCCAGGGAGATAGATCATAGACAAGATAAAGACCTGCAAATGTATGCTGATAAGTGACGCAGACAAAAATAAAGCGGGAGGGAGATGGGAGCTGGGCAGAGAAACACTCTTGCAAAGAGTGTTGTCATTAGCATTCTCAGAGAGGCCTCTGTGCCGCCTCCTGCCTTCTTGAGTGGCTTTGATTGTCTTGCCTCAGGAGACAGTTCTTCAGGACCCCCCCAACACACACACACACACACACACACACACACACACACACACACACACACAGCCGATGGGCAGGAGGAGGCAGCTGGCTCTAACCCGAGCCTCCCCGCTTCCCTGCAGAACATCTTTGCCTGGTGTGGGGGAAAGTCCAACATCCTGGAGCGCAACAAGGCGCGGGCCCTGGCCCTGGCCATCCGGGACAGTGAGCGGCAGGGCAAGGCCCAGGTGGAGATCGTCACTGATGGGGAGGAGCCTGCTGAGATGATCCAGGTTGAGGGGACATTGGGGTGGGCAGCCGGGAGCCTCTACTTGGAAGCCCTGAGAAGCTGGGGGCATGAGGGTGATCGGTGGAGGATGGTGGGGCTGGGGGCATCTGGGGCACCGCTTAGGGCTGTAGCTAGCTTCTAGGATGCCTTGGTGTGATTCAGCATAAAGCATCTCTCTGGGCGGATGGATCAGTGGCCTGGCAGGTGGGGTGGGCTGGACCCAGCCTCACTTTCCTCTGCCGAGTGCCCTTGTGCAAGACAGTTTGCCCCACCAGAGGTGGTGAGTGGCCCTGGGTGTGATGAGTTGGGAAGGTCTGGGGCAGGTGCCCAGGAATCTCTGGAAACATGGCCTGTCCTCGCCCCTGCAGGTCCTGGGCCCCAAGCCTACTCTGAAGGAGGGCAACCCCGAGGAAGACCTCACAGCTGACCAGACAAATGCCCAGGCTGCGGGTCTCTATAAGGTGGGCACTCAGGGCCTGCCCTGGGACCAGGCAGGGGGTGGGAGCCTGGTGCATGGGTTGGGGGTGGGGGCCTGAAGGGAGAGGAGAAAGCAGTGGGAAGGTTGGGCTGGGCGCCAGGGTGGTTTATCCTAGGCTTGGAGTGAGAGGAGGATGGGAAGTGGATGGATGTTAGGCCCTTCTGAGGAGATAAAATGCCACTTCACTTGCAGCCCATTCTTGGAGAAGGAGGTTGGAAGCCAAGAATCCTTTTGGATTCTTTGCATTTATTCATAATTTGGAATCCACTTGATTTCCAAATGGATTCAGGGCCTCTGCACTACCGTGATTGAGGGTGACGTGATGGAGGTGGGGTTGGGGGTAGGGTGGCTGCCTGGGATTTGCCCATCAGTGCTTTTCCTCCCTGTCCCCTTTCTGCTCCTTGGGCCTGGGGCGATGGTGTAGGGAGGCGTGCTCCTTGGGCGGGGGTTAGGGCTGGTGTTGCAGGGAGCAGGGTGGGATCCTGCACTGCCCATCCTCCCCCAGGTCTCTGATGCCACTGGACAGATGCACCTGACCAAGGTGGCTGACTCCAGCCCTTTTGCCCTGGAGCTGCTGCTCTCTGATGACTGCTTCGTGCTGGACAACGGGCTCTGTGGCAAGATCTACATCTGGAAGGGTATGTGTGGTTTCTCCCCTCCAGCCTGAGACCCCTGTGGCTGCTCTGACCTGGGCAGGCTTCTCATTGGAGGGCCCAGCCTGCCTGGATGCTTTCAAAAGACAGCCTCAGGGCTGGCTCCGTGGCCTAGTGTTTAAGTTCATCGCACTCCGCTTCTGCGTCCCAAGTTTGTTCCCAGGCACCGACCTACACTACTTGTTGGTGGCCATGCTGTGGTGGCGACCCACATACAAAATAGAGGAAGATTGGCACAGACGTTAGCTTGGGGCGAATCTTCCTCCATAACAAGACGACAACAAAAAGACAGGCTCAGGGAGCCTGGATGCTCCGGACCTTGAGGCTGAGGGTTTTATCTTTGCTGTTCCCACCCCCTAAATTCTGTTCTGAAACTTTAGCATGCCTCAGAATTACCTGAGGGCCTGTTAAAACAGATAGCTGGACCCCACGAGATTCTGATTCACTAGGCCTGGGGTGGAGCCTGAGGATTTGCAGGTTCCCAGGCCTTGCAGCTGGTCCAGGGACCACGTTTTGAGGCCCACTGTCCTAGAGCATGTCTACGCCTTCAGGGCTGCTGGGACCCCTGACCCTGCCATTGTGCCTTGAGGTGTGACAGAGAGAAATTTTAGCTAAACTAAATCTCACTTTATGCAGTGGGTAGCGAACTGATAGAACTTGTTTTTCCAAGAGATTGTATTAGCTGGAAATAGAAACACTGTTGTGCAGAAGCATGTTCACTTGGTTTGACTCTGAAAATGTTGAAAGAAAAGCTCTGAGTCTCTGAGTATACTGGGAGCCACTTCTCCATGCTTGCCTTTTCTTGAGCATGTCTTTCCTCCCTGACCAGATTATAAACCTCTTGAAAGCAGGAACCATATCTTCTCTAGTGTCTTGACGAAATAGCATTTGGTCAATAAATATTTGTGGGGTCAGCCAGGGCCAAGAGACATTCCCAGCGCCAGCCTGGTCAGGAAGATAGAGAAGTATTAGGTGTCCTAACCATAGCTGCTCCTAGACAATAAATACTCTTGCCTTGGGGAAGGGCGTGGAACATCAAGCAGCATGGCAGGTTTCAAGGGTTAGAGAGTGTGGTGTGTGTATGTGGGGGGGGGGTGTGTGTGTGTGTGGTGTGTTTGTGTGGGAGGATTGTGCTACTGGAGGTGCCTTTTCCCTCCTGCCACAGGGTGCCTTTCCATGGAACCAATTCCAAGCGCAGGGGGGTTCCCAGACGCCCATGGAAGTGTATTTAGCCTCAATCAAAGAACCGAATCATTTTGGAAAGAGAAACCAGAGGAGAAAAAACAGGAAACCTGGGAGCCAGGAAGCAAAGTATCTCGCGGGTAGCTGGTCAGATTGTAGAGAAAGGATATAGCCCGTTTCATTCCAGATACATTGTAGTGACTGGATTTTTATAGCCTGGCTGGTGCACAGTTCACAACCTTGTTTCCTTGGAAGATAGATGCCTTAAACTGGAGCACACTTGGTGCAGGCAGAGCCTGCAGGAGGGAAGGGATGATTGTGTGCCCTTGCTCCTTACAAGCTCTTCGTGGGCATACTCATCAGGCGGCTGTTGGCTCTCTGGCCTCAGGGGAATAAGATGTGGTAGATCACACCCTTTTGCCCCATTTAGTTTTACAAACAAGGCTTGATAACAGTACAGTTGACAGACTCAAGAGGTGAAGGGTCCTGGAGGGGAGCCACAGCTTTAGAGTCTGATGCCGGGACACTAGCTCTCCCTTGAGTATCTCTGGGGCCCTGGTGCGAGCAGAGATTTTGGTGATTAGAGGGACAGAAGAGCAGTTTTCATCTGCCTTGGAGCTGCCAGGTGGGGAGGAGTCTCAAGGGGCTGACTTTACCCCTCCCAAGAGCTCTGCAGCTCTTAGCACCTCCTGGTCCATTTATCTCAAAAGTTGCCAGCTATTCTGTGGACCCCCTTAAATTTCCTTGGGAAAAATGGGATGTGGGCTAGAAAAGTCTCTGCTCTTTTTAAAAATCTCCTTGCTATGATCCAGGGCGAAAAGCTAATGAGAAGGAGCGGCAGGCGGCCCTCCAGGTGGCTGAGGACTTCATCTCCCGCATGCAGTACTCCCCAAACACTCAGGTGAGGAGACACCCCAGGCCTAAACCCTCCTTCTGGGGCCTCCTGCCCCTCAGACTGGACAAGCAGGGCAGGAAAGCCCTGGGCACAGTCCGGAACAGTCAGGCCTCCCTACCAGCCCCACCCAGTGGGAAAGCAGTTCGCAATTCTTCACAGTTAAAAGTAACTGTTATTTTCTAAGCTGTCGGGCACTCCCCTGGGAGCCTGGAGGCCAGGTGTGTCTTTGGAAAGCTTGTGTGGTTTCTCTGAGCCATTGTCCCTAGCTTGTACCGCCCCTCCTCGCCCCAGCATGGTGACTCCACAGATCATTCTGAGGGATGCTGATAAGGCTCATCTAGAATTGGTGCATCTGTCAAACTGTGCACCCCGGTCCTTGAAGCAGTCTGTTTTCTCAGCTTGTGTCCCTGTATCTTTTTTCTCATCTCTTGGCTTATCTGGAGGAGCATCCCCGGCCTGGGCAGCATGTGTACTCAGGCCTGGTGCTCAGCACCCTCCTCCATGGCCCCGGCCTTCTCTGGTGGAGGCAGAGGTGGCAACCTTGTGAGCCAGACTTCTCCTCTGCTGTCCCCGCAGGTGGAGATTCTGCCCCAGGGCCGTGAGAGTCCCATCTTCAAGCAATTCTTCAAGAACTGGAAATGAGGGTGGGCGTCTCCCCCTCCAACCTGCTTGCTCCTCCTCCGGCTGCCTGGTCAGTTGCCCCCCACGATGTTCAATAAAGGCGACAAGTGCTTCCCTGCTCTCTGCCTGCACTGCCTGCCCTGGGCTAATCCTCACTGCCCCACTATTCCCTGGGCTCATCCCCATGCTGGGACAGAGGAGGACCCAGGTGACAGTCCCCCCTCCAAGGGGCCAGAGCTGGCTTTGCATGATTGAGGCAGAGGAGCTAGGAGTCCCAGCGAGCCTGGCAGTGCTGCTGTGAACCCAATAGGGAGGTGGCACAGTGCCAGGCCTCAGGATCGCTTTCAGCCGGGGGGGTTCGGTTCAGTTTCACATTCCCACTGGGAGAAGGCTGTGGCAACAGCCTCGGGATGCATCTCCATTCAAGCCAGGATTTCCTCAGATGCCCTAATAAACCATCCTGAGGCAGCTTCCAAATGATGTATGCTGGCCAAGAAAGAGGACAACTTTCGCTACTGAGCAGAGGTCTGGCTTGTCACTTCATAGGCACACTGCATCGTGTGTTAACCTGCTGAGCCCAGGGACAGCAGGGGGACGGTGGGGCCGTGGGGGAAGCACCGGACTAGTGTCCAGAGTCACGGGTTCTGGTTCTCACTTGGCCTCTGTTTCATCCTAGGCAAGCTGCTTTCCCTGTCCAGGCCTTCGTTCATCCTCTGTAGAGTGGGGTGGTGGCTGGAATATCAGAGAGGCTAGATAGCTCACTGCGGGGACAACAGAGTAACTCCAAAGTGCTCCGTCCTGGAGGGCGCGACCAGGGGGGCAAGAGCAAGGCGGGGGCTGTGTAAGCCTGACCGGAGTCCACAAGGCCTGGCAGGGCTGCAGCTGTCCTGACGCACCCTCGCCCCTGGGCCCTAAGGGCTAGGTGGCTTCTGAGCTCTGACACCTGGATTCCTTCATCCCAAACAGAAATTCTGATCAAGTTCATCCTGTTGATTTGGCAGAAAAAGCAGCTCCCCTGCCTATCCCCCGCCCGTCTCTCTGCAGAGATGTCCAGCTGTCCACCTGACAGGCTACACACACACAAGCCAGGGATAGTTTTAAAAGGGCAGAGTAAGGGCACACCACATGTGTGGTGCTGACATTTTTAGGGTTGTGAAGCATTTTACGTCTCCCATGAAAGGCCTGCGTAGCCCTTTCCCAAGAAAAATGCACAGATTAAGATTTTTGCATCCACTACCTTTAGAGGATTTAGACACCCCCACGACCAGTCCATCAGCAGACCCACAACTTAACCCCTGGACTGTGGTATTGCTAATTTAGGTCCCAGGGTCCAAAGCTGTGAGCACTCTGTCCAGAGAGGTTTACATGGGGGCGATGGTGGAAGGGCTCCTGCAGGGGCTGCTGGCCTCCCCTCCAGGTGGAGGCCCACGGGGACTGGGCCTATGGTCAGGTCTGCCGAGTTAGCCTTCTGCTCTCAGAGCAAGGGAAAGGAATCTGCGGGAAAGGAACCACGGAACCTGACACGCCCACGTGGAGGCTGAGCTGCAGCCTCTCTCTCTGCAGTCCCACCGCACCGGCCCAGTCACCTCCCTGCCGTCTCTGCTGTCTGCTAAGCACCCAGACTGGAGGAAGCAAGGTGGACAAAGGATTAGCTCAGGTCAGGCAAAGATGACACAAGGCAAATGGCAGAGTCCAATACCAGCCCCACTTGAGGCGTCTTGCTGACAGCAGTGCAGGGTTCCCTTACATGCTTGGGTGGCCATCTGTTGTGCCCACCTCTGTAACGCGCCCCACCTCCAGCAGTCAGACTTGGAGAGGCCTGCAAGAGCTAGATGATGGTCTTCCGTGCCTCTACTTGAGGGAGTCCAGGGGACAGAAGAGCAGTGTGGCAGGGCTCTCGCCTGCCCCCCACTCCCCAGCTCAGGACGCCTTGGCCTGGAGGCCCTTTTGCAAATGGAGCAACAGAGCCAGCCTCCCTAGAAGTGAATGTAGGAAAAACCCTGTGTAGGTTCCTCCAACCAGTCAATCGTAAGAGCCAGGGCCACCTCGCCCACTGGCTGGAGCATGCAAGGAGTCTGGGCCTCCAAGTGTAGGATGGACAGCATATGAACTCAGTGGGAGTTTGACCAGTGCACAGCAACCTTCTCTCCTGGAGCCCATGACCAGTGCCAGAGCCCACCCGTGCCTTCACCTGGCTGGAGTGCCTGGCTCTAACTGGGCCCTGGAACAACAGAGCCACAGGAATGTGTAAGGCTTATCTTGGAGGACAACACTTGGGATCCTTAACCCAGAACAATTCTTTTATTCAAAAACTGCTGGTGTGTGAATTTCCTCCTTCCCTCACTGAGGCTAGAAAACCATTCCTGATGGGAACTGCAGGGCCTCCTCGGGGGGAGCCCACCTAGTGGGTGGTTAGGACGGGCAGCAGTGAAAACACTCAGCCAAATGCCCAGTTCTGTACCATAAACAGCAGGGAGGAGGGATGGGGAGAGAAGAGAGTGGGACAGTGCAAGGCCAGAAACCCCAGAGGGGACCCTCATACTGGCCTGGTGGATGGAGGAAAGGAAGGCCGGCCCAGCTGCAGTCTTGGGCAGCTTGCTCTGGGTCATGCTGCCCCCTGTTGGCTGCTGCCACTGCTACCTTCTGCCTTCAGATTCTAACTACACGGTCCCTGTCCTATGGACAGGCGGGTCCTGAAAGCCCTGCTACCCAGGGAGTCCGCATTCTGATGCCTCTACTTGGGGATGTCCTTCAATGAGGGATACGTGGAACGTCCACATGGGGCTCTCCCTCTTCATGCTCTGTTCACTCTCACTGAGATTCCCTGGAACCCAACTCTGTAAACTGTAGCCCAACTAAGATTATGGCAAAGTTCTCACTGGAGGCAGGTGTGCGGAGAGCGGGTCAAGTCTAACTGCCCCTAATGTCTCATGCAGGTGAGGGTCCTTGGCTCTCCAACCAAGCCCAGGAGCTTCCTACCTTCCTTCTGCTAAGACAGGAAGGCGCTTGGCCCAGCCAGCGTGTGCCTGCCATGGTTTGCCATGTGCCCTCCAGAAGCCCCCGTGGCCCAGCCTTTAAGTCCTTCTATCAGTCAGCCTCTGGGGTTGGTCATATCAGCCATGTGCCTTCAGATGAGTGCGGCAGCAGATCACACACGCCTGTGAAAGTGAGATCCTTGGAGTGAGGGGCTTGTGGCCCATAGCACTTCTGTGCTCCCAACAAGGAGGCCTGTCCCTTTGACACTCTGGCCAAGTAGATCTCCAGGGTCTTGAGCAGCCGCCTTGGGCTCTTCTTGGCCAGTACTTCCAAATCTGCAACAGAGAGCGTTAGGGAACAAAAAGCTTGAGGGGACTTTGGACTGCACAATGGGCCTGCCCTGACTAGGGCCTAGCAGCTCTAGGGAGCACCCCCAACCCAGATCCTACAGAGAGAAGGGTGAAGGAGTCTTCTAGATGGAGAGGGCATCCAGGAACCAGGCAGAGCCACAGGGACCACACACTTTGCCTTGTCTGTCAGAGTTGTGACAATCTCAACTCTGAATGGTCAGTCCAACTGCTGGACCTAGCTTTTGATTCAGGAAACATGATCACCAGAGGTATAAGGCCAGAAAGGCAGGAGTGTGGTAGCAGAGAAAGGAGAGCTAGCAGATCCAGAGGGTGGGCTGATGAAAACTTTGGGAAGCTGGAACTTGAGAAAGTGTGAATTGGGGTTGGGGGAAGGGAACTACAGCCAAAACCAGTGTACAACCACTCTGGGTCCCTGCACCTGGGGATGCTAGGAGTTCAGGAGCTGGGCCTCCCAGAAGAAAGAGCATACCTTTGAGAACAAAGCCTGAGTCTGAGATGGTCTTCTGCTGCGTCCTCCAGACATGCGCGAGGCGGAGAAAAGTGGCGGCATAGAAGCTGTTCACCACCGAGATCACCTTTTGCTGCCGATTACACTCCCTGCAGGACAAAGGAGGTGATCTGCTCAGCAGTGGACAAAGGCTGACCCCTGGGTGCCCTCCCACCCTATTCCCCAGGGGAGCCGTTCCCCAGGCAGTCCTCCCATCTGAGGTCAGGGTTGGGGAGGAGAGATGGGCTGGAAGACTGGTGCACGGGGACTTTCCAGAACCCCCAGGAGCCAGCAGGAGAGGAAGAGGCTGGGGAAAATAAGGCAGAGGTGGGGAGAAACCAGCTGGCCAGGGGGTGAGCAGTGTGGGCACTCACCTGGAGAGACACTCCTCCCTTAAGGCCTGGATTGCGATGCGAGTGATGTTGATGGACATCAGACAGAAGGGGAATTGCTGGAATGGAGGGGGCACCAGGTCAGTGGCAACCCAGGCTCTTGCCCTCTGTGTTTCCAATCATCCACAACCTCGCGTGGCCCACAGGCAGTAAGAGCAATCATGGCCCAGAAGCAGCAGCTGATTTATAGATGCTTATGCTTAATTTTCACAGTAGTCTTTTTTCCCATCTTACAGTTGAGGAAACTGAGGCTCAGTGACCTTAAATAATTTTCCTAAGGCATTGCAACCAGGATCCCAACTGAGGTTAATTCACTCCAAAGCTGTGCATAACCCCTGTGCTAGTTCTCCAGCCTCTTCAACAGTCTGACCCTTTAGCTCTCCTTGGCCTTCACTAGACCACTGTGTGTGCCGCTCGTGGACCACATCACTCCTGGGCTTAGGATGAACACCAGAGGAGTGAGGCTCGGTTATCTAACTCTATAGATTCTTAAAAATCTCTTCTCCCCTTCCCTAGGCTTCTGGTTATTTGACTACTTATAAACACTTCATCCAAAAGCAGACAGAAAAAGTGCAAGTGGGTAGAAAGTCAGCCTTGACTTGCTGGCACCCCTCATCTCTCAATGACACAGAGGCCTGAAAACCAGCTGCACAGGTTGAACTCCTGAGAAGGGGCAGAATGGGGTCCAGCAGGGTGCTTCACCAGGACGGGCCTCAGAATCCCCTGGGGGGTCCGATTTAATGCTTTATTTTTGGAGGGGCAAGTTCTTTCCCATTCTTTAACAACAAAAAACCAAGCAAATGAAAAGGGTTTTCTTCCAGGGAATTTGTAAATATTACACGTTTGTTTCTGCTGTTGCACACACACAAGGACATCCACTGACAGAGACACACATCAGCACATTCCTTAGTCTACAGCAAGAGCCAAAGTCTATTTATCCCGTCTGCTTCCTGTGAAAAGAAAAATCCATTACAGTATGACGTAGAACTGTGCTGTCCAGTATGGTAGCAACTAGCCACGTGTAGCTATTTAAATGTAAATTAATTAAAAATTAAATAAAATTAAAAATTCAACTCAGTCATACGAGACACATTTCAAGTGCTCAATAGCCTCATGTGCTTAGCAGCTACTATACTGGACAGCACAGATATAGAATATTTCCGTCACTGCAGAAAGTTCTGTTTGACAGCACTGAACTATAGAGGGTCTTCTGTCTCCGCAAAGATTTTTCCCAGGGTCTTCCAGGACACCTGGACTCCAGCTCTTGGCTTGGCCACCTGCTAGCTGTTGTGTCCTTAGGAAGGCCATCCAAACTCTATTGAGACTCAGCTTTCCCCTCTCTCCAAACATAAAAGGAAATAAACTTTGAGTGCTGTGCAGAAAAGAGTTAACACAGCAGGCCTACTGTCCTCAGAAAGTCCCACTTACACGGTTGGCTTTTGCCTAGCATCTGAGAACCTGGATTTCGGGAGGGTTCCCGCCATTCCCTCAGGATGACTCACTGTGCCTAAACTGTTGTGTAAACAGCATGGTTTATGCTGAACACCTGCTTTCCCTCTGTGATTCTGGAATTTTGGTACATGCTACACAGATGGTGCCTGCATGACCAGCCCCCAGTAAAAGCCTTAGGTACTGAATCTAATGAACTCCCCTGGTGGGCAACATTTCACATGTTGCACAATTCAGTGCTGGAGCAATTAAGTGTGTCCCATGAGATTCTGCTGGGAGAAGACTCTTGGACGCTTTCGCCTGGTTTCCTCTGGACTTCGTCCCATGCGCTTGTTCCCTATGTGGATTTTGCTTTTGCTGTACTAAATCATAGCTGTGAGTCTTCCCAGTGAATCACTGAACCGGGGGTGGTCCTGGGCACCCCGAGAAAAGTGCCATGCTGGGTGGAGTCAAGTCATTAATCATTACAAAAACTCTAGGAGATAGGTTTTACTAACAACAGTTTACATTTTCTATTATCCCACAAGCTACCTCACAGAGTTGTTCTGAAGAGTAATCTGGATCTCATATGGAAAGTACTAAGCACAGTGCTGGCCTAAGTGGGTGCTCACAAACGTTTATAGTTATCATCCTTGCCTCAACCTGGGTAGCTGGGGTGGGCAGCAAGGCATTTATACCTTCATGGACTGCCTATTCAATTTTCATATCTACCTGTGTAATAGTTCCCCTTCCCTTGATTTTTTTCAGTCTAAAAATAAATATGGGGGCTGACCCGGTGGCATAGTGGTTAAGTTCGCATGCTCTGCTTCGGCGGTCCAGGTTCACAGGTGTGGATCCCAGGTGCAGACCTACACCACTCATCAAGCCATGCTGTGATAGCATCCCACATACAAAATAGAGGAAGACTGGCACAGATGTTAGCTCACGGCCAATCTTCCTCAAGCAAAAAGAGGAGGATTGGTGACGGGTGTTAGCTCAGGGCCAATCTTCCTCACCAAAAAATAAAATAAAATAAAAAGAGATTCATATTAATACATACATAAATAAGGGAAAGAACATGGTAGCAACGTAATTAACAGAGGCTCTAAACCTAGTGTTCATTCACTCTTGGGAACATTCTTATAAAGCCCAGTTATTAAAAAGCAGTGAAACGGTGCCAGCCTGGTGGCACAGCGGTTAAGTGCTCACGCGCCACTGCAGTGGCCCAGGGTTCACAGGTTCGGATCCCAGGCACGCACCTGTGCACCGCTTGTCAGGCCGTGCTGTGGCAGCATCCCATATAAAGTAGAGGAAGATGGGCACAGATGTTAGCCCAGGGCCAGTCTTCCTCAGCAAAAAGAGGAGGATTGGCATTGGATGTTAGCTCAGGGCTGATCATCTTCAAAAAAAAAAAGGCAGTGAAAAATTGGAATTCAGATCTAAATGTCTTCTTTCCTTCAGCAATTCCCTTGGACCTGAAAAGTGTTGCTTTGAGCTAAAATACTACACTGAGGCTGTGTTTAGGGAACTGACTAAAAGACAGCAGAGGAAATCAGACCTACATGCCTCACGTTTGGGCTTATACACCTTTGAACTCTAAAGCAGGAACTAGATCATCTTTTGTGGCTGCTGCTGACATGGCCCCAGCCCTGGAGATTCCAATTCAGGAGATCTGGGGAGGGGCCTGGGCATCTGCACCCCCCAGGTGACTCTGAAGTATGCTGCTGGCTGAGAACTGCTGCTGTGAGGAGCCCACCGCCAGGCCAGTGTCAGGAGATGTGGTTTTGTAGGCCCTGCTTCACCACTTACTAGCTACCCAGCTTTGCGCAGAAACACTTTACCTCTCTGATCCTCACATTCCTTTGCTGGAAAACGAAGATTTATAAGGACCCATCTTTGATGGAATGAAGTAAGGCATGGAAACTGCATAGAAGGCTATACGCGTTGCTGTATACGAGTAAGCATTTTTATAAGGTGCTTCCATGCTCGCCAGCGATTAGCCCGATGCGCCCTGCAGCTCTCAGTGTCTGTGCTATAGCATTGCTTCTCGGGACGGTGTGCGCTAAGCGCTTCCATACTACTGGGATTCATGGGAGTCCTGGGGTCCCCCCAGCATTTGTGGGTTTTGGTCAATTCCGCTTTGGCAGGATGTACCACGGGTCCCTGGAACTTCAGCTCTCTCATGGAGAGAACAGGACTGGCTGCTGGCAGGCTGTGTCCCTCACCTGTTTTTCTGATCTTATCCATGCCTCCTGGAAAACTCTGTTTTCAAGGTCAAGTTTTACTTTAAAACCCTGGAATTACTTATAGTTCAAGGAATTATAAAATAAAGCTGGAAAGGACCTTAGAATCATTTAGGCCAAATCTCTTATTTCATAGGAGAGCAAATTGAGGCCCAGAGAAGTTCAGTGAATTGCCTCAAATCATAGCTAATAATAAGACTGCAGGGGCCGGCCCCGTGGCTCATCGGTTAAGTGCACGCGCTCCGCTGCTGGCGGCCCGGGTTCAGATCCCGGGCGTGCACCGACGCACTGCCTCTCCGGCCATGCTGAGGCTGCGTCCCACGTACAGCAGCTAGAAGGATGTGCAGCTATGACATACAACTATCTACTGGGGCTTTGGGGGAGAAAATAAATAAATAAAATTAAAAAAAAAAAAAAGAAAGACTGCAGATGGAACTAGAATCTAGTTTCCCTGACACCTACATCACCAGCCCTCTTATTTTGTTACATTAAGATGCTATTCCTTCTTATTGTCTGACGTGCATACTGTGGAGTAAACATATATCCCCAGTAAATTGCACAAAGGCCAGTTGGTGAGGGGATGAGAAACAGACTGGTCAAAGCGGTCAGTCTGGGTGTGTGGTGATGAAGCCCCAGGACTTCTGCTCTCATCCTGCTGTTCCCTCTGCCTGGGATGCCCCGCTCTCAGATATCTGCATGGTTTGCTCCCTCACCTCATTCAAGCCCATCCTTGAAAACAAATGAGGGATTCTGAGTTGGCAATAACCCTCTACCCTGGCTTCCATATTTCTGCAGGAGGGTCTTAAAAGAGAGCCTTCACAAAGCACAAGAAGGGAGACACTGAGGTCACAGATGATTTATAGGAAATCATTAGCTGTGGGATCATTTCCCCTCTCTGGGTCTCCATTTCCCTACCTCTAAAATGAGGGGCTGGACCAGTGATTGCTAAGATACGCCTCAACCTCTCGGAGTCTGTTACAATGAAGCAGTGTTGCTGTAAGAGATCACTCTGTTTCACAAGCTGACTGGGCCAGTTCTCAGACTTGACCTGGACATTACCTGCCTGCATCATGAAGACCAGAGAATATGCCCACATTCTCAACTTGTGGCGTCCTGATATCTCTCAAGACCAGGTACTCACCAAGTCCCACTCTTGCCTCCTCCAGTGTTTCCTGGAAAAGACTAGCAGATGTGAAGACTTAAAGTTTAATGGGTGTTTTTCCCCAAAAGATACAGAGATATTCAGTAAAGGTTAGAAATGAAAAACTGCCCAGGTGGCAGGGACTGTATGATTAACTGGTTTGTATTCAGAAGTTTTGGATTCAAACAGTGATCCACCTTACTAATGGTTGTGTGTGTGTGTATTTGTGTGTGCATGCAAGTGCAGGTATGTATTCAACTGATTTAAAAAATATAAGATGTATTTATGTATGTATATATTATATACATAAGATGTATAAATGTATTTGTACTCATGGAAATCAAAAGTTACTTTGATACCAACACTCACTGAATGACTAAAGTCACTGGCACTTTACATAGTTTATCTCCAACTTCGAATAACTCTAGAGTTGGAATTATTTTCTCAGGTTATAAAGGAAGAAGCTGACGTTCTGAGACTTAAGTAATAGGGCCAAGAGAATTAAGTCATGACACTGTTATTACAACAGTCTGTTCTTGCAGCTCAGGCCTGCTCAACTCCAGCCCTCTAAGGTAAAATGATCTGATTAAAATGCTGCAGGTCTGACCTTCAGCCGCTCAGTCTTGGGCTCCTCTCCCCTGGACAGTGTCAAAGCACACCACCTTCCTGTGAGTGCTACTGGGGGCTGGGACAGCTCTGCTCACCACGGAAGACCCCTCCTATTAGAGTCGGGAGTGAACCAGTGACACAAACATACATTCAAAGCTTGGTCCACGGAGAGGGCCTAGAAGCAGTGAGATCTTAATAGCAGTGAGAACACCTCGCGCTCAGATCTTGGTTTCTGAATATCATTCTCCAATTAAAGGAACAAGAACTCCCTGGAGTAACAGTTGATTCCAGGGCTGGGAATCATACAGGGAAAATACAAGATGAGCCTAGAGCACTTTTTGGTGTCCAGAGAGTCAAAAAGTGCTCAAAAAAAGATAGGGCATGTTGAAAGGGCACAGGTACCAACCTGAAAGAGCTCCTAAAATGGCCAAAGCTGAAACAATTTGAGCAACAAAATAAATAATGATAGTGTTGGGTTATAACCCATCAAATAAAATAAATAAATACTTCTGCAACTTTTCTGTCAATCTAAAATTATTTCAAAATAAAAAGTTAAAAAAATGGCCCAGTGCATTGGGCAAAGACTATGCCTCTCCACGATGGTCTGCCTCAATAGTTAGGGGTGAAGGTGGGGGTCCCAAGCACCCACGCTTTCCTTCATTCCAATGCTCGGCTTCATCGCCCCCACCATTTATCTTGAATGTATCGGGGCTAATTTCACTTTGCTCTTTACATCTTTTTATGGTGCTTACTACAAACCCCTCCCCCAGACTCCTAGGTCACGCCTGGCTCCCTGCACTCCAAGCTTCATAAGGCTCTTAGTCTGTCCCCATCTTTCATCCCTCCCCAGTTCCCAAAACCTGGCCACTGTACCCCGGAACAATGATAATTATTAGGGCACAGAGCCCCTGTCACGCTGATAATGATGCCATTATCAGCAAATTTCCCCATAAATATTCAACCTATTCTAAAACCTGGCTCTCTGCAGAGGAGGACACTTTCCCTGTCAAGTGCTGGTGGTTTTTCCTCCCCTTCACCGGGCTAGGAGGTGGGGAAGAGATTATTCTTCGGCTATCAGACCATTTGGCCCCCTCCTCCCTATAAGCCCCCAGCTTCGAGTTTCACGTTCAGATTACATTACTCACTTGCAAATTTTCTGTACATGTGAAATTATATGAAAATAAAAAGTACCAAAAAATACCCTTCCCCCACCAGCTACACCCCATTTTTTTGCTCCCCTTTGCAACAAAATTCCTTGAAAAGGTTGTTACTGTGTCTAATTCCTCTCTCCCATCCCCTCTTAAAACCTAATCTAAATCAGGGGCTTTTGTTTCTAACATCTCACTGAAAATGTTCTCATCAAGGTCCTCCAGACAGAATCTATAATTCTTAGTCATCAGGCAGCACCGTCTAACTCAGTTGGTCATGCCCTGCTCCTCATACCGCTTCCAGAACTCTGTACTCTCCTGGTTTCTCCTACTTTCCGCCCCCTTCTTCTCCCCATCCCCTTAATGTTAGAGTGGCTCAGGGCTTGGTCCTTGGTCCTCTCTTCTGTCTACACTCATTCTCTTGAAAATCTCATTCCAGTTTCACAATAAATATGATCTAGGGGGCTGGCCCAGTGGTGTAGCTGTTAAGTTCGTGTGCTCCGCTTCGGTGGCCTGGGGTTTGCCGGTTAGGATCCCAGGTGCAGACCTACACACAGGTTATCAAGCCATGCTGAGGCGGCATCCCACACAGAAGAGCCATGAAGGACATACAACTATGATACACAACTAAGCATTGGGGCTTTGGGGAGAGAAAAAAAAAAAATTAATAAAATAAAATATAATCTATACCAGAACCCCTGGAGGGCTTGTTAAAACAGATTTCCGGGTGCCACCTGTAGTTTCTGATTCATGATGTCTGGGGAGGGGCCCCAGAATTTGCATTTCTAATAAGTTCTCAGGTGATGCTGATGTTGCTAGCCTCGGGACAGCATCTTTAGAGCCACCGATCAGTGCTGACAATTCCCAAATTTTAATCTCTAGCCAGACCTTTCTCCCTAACACCATACTCATACATCCAATTGCTTACCCAACATTTCCACTTGGAAGTCTAATAAAGTTCTTAAAATTTATATGCCAAACTCAACCCCCCAAACTTGCTCTCTTTTCCATTTCAGTTGATGGTCACTCTGTCTTCCAGTTGCTCAGACTAAACATCATCATTGACTCCTCTGCTTTTCTTACACCCATACCCAACCCATCAGAGAAACACGCTGGCTCTACTCTCTTAAGTCCATATGCTGGAGATTCTACATCCAGAATCAGGCCACTTCACACCGCCTCCTCTGAAAATACTCTGGTCCCACCACCATCATCTCTAACTTGATTATAAAAGCCATCGCTGTAGACTGTTCTCAACCTAGCAGCTAGTAGGCTCCATTAAAAAATGCTAAGCTGGATCATGTCACTCCCGGCTGCTGAAAACCCTCATTTTACTCAAGTAAAAGCAAAAGTCCTTGGGCCGGCCCCGTGGCTTAGCGGTTAAGTGCGCGCGCTCCGCTGCTGGCGGCCCGGGTTCGGATCCTGGGCGCGCACCGACGCACCGCTTCTCCGGCCATGCTGAGGCCGCGTCCCACATGCAGCAGCTAGAAGGATGTGCAGCTATGACGTACAACTATCTACT